AGAGAGAGAGAGAGAGAGAGAGAGAGAGAGATACGTCATTTCAGGGAAAGCCTGAGACTCAAATGTAGATAAACAGAGTCAAATATTGGTAGTAGCTACAGAATGATTAGAAATAAAGAAGAAGAAATAGTAACAGGGCAAGGGCCCAGGAAGATAATCTGTACTAATGAAGACTTACTGCTGAATGGCACCTTTTAATTAGCATTTCATTACCTCCAAGCTGCTCTAAGAAAGGCCATTTCTAAACTATCTAAAAGGAAATGGACAGTGGCCCCTATAAGAGCCCTGTCTTAGCCTGTTTTGTGCAGCTACAGCAGAGTATCTGAGATGCCATAATTTACAAGAAACTGAAATTTATTTTCTCACAGTTCTGGAAGCTGGGAAGTTCAAGATCAAGGCAGTGTCACGTTCAGTTAGCTGGTGAGGGCTGCTCTCTGCTTCCAAGGTGGTGCCTTATGCTGTATCATCTGGAGAGAAGGAATACTGTGTCCTCGTATGGTAGAAGACAAGGGGGCCAAACTCCATCTATCAATCCCCTTTATAAAGGCACCTAATCTTATTCATGAAGGAGGAAACTTCATGGCCTGATCATTTCTTTAAAAACCCACCTCTTAGTACTGGGAGGGAAGAAAGGAAAGAACCAATTAGGCAGACAGCTAGAGCAAAGTCCTCAGTTGAATTTCTTTTGTGACAGAAGGGGAAGCCTGAAAGACGAAGATGCAAGTGTAGATAAGAAAGCAAGGTCCAGCATAAAAGGAGGCCATCTGTATACCCAGCGAGCTTCACATATACACAACAGGCCTCAGTGGGCACATTCTTCTCCTTTTTTTGGATATACAAGGTAAGGAAGCTTACACAGGTGGAAGGTTTGTTTGAATCACGTCTGCAGCTGCACAGGTAAGAGGAGCTACACTGGACCAGGCACATCCACAATGGAGAATTCCATCCCCTAACACATGTACAGGAAGGGAGATTAAACAGCATGAAGTGACTTCAGCCAAGAGCCCACATGCACACTGGAAGAACAGGGTGGGGGCTGTTGGGAATTCACGTCTTATACAAATGACATACCTAGTCTTAATGAGTTTTTCCGCACCTTATGCAAAGGAAACACCCTCCCCACTAGCTTGTTTATAAAAGCCTTTGTATTCAACTTTAAAACAGAAACCCTCTTTCAGGACTCCTCTCGCAGTAGAGAGCTTTCTCTCTTCCTTTCATTTATTAAACTTCTGCTCTAACTTCACCCCTGGAGTCCACATTCCTTGATTTCTTCAGTTATGATGAAGAATTCCAGGTAACGAGGCTGTTTCAATACTATCACATTGGCAATACCTGAATTTTGGAGGAGGCACATTCAAACCATTGGCAGTCCTGTATCTCCTTCAGACAGCTTCTAAAAATAGAGTAAGATCATGTTTTAATATATCTCTTTTGGACCATAATGCAAATCAATCAAGGTCCAAGCAGAAGACAGAAACCACACTAGTGAGGTGAGAAAAACTTTTAACATAAAGGATTATTTAATTGGCAAAAGAGGAACAATTACTAAAAGGGGCAAAGAGAGTCTTAACTATTACAGAGAGAACAGATGTAAGGAATAGCTACCACCTCTAGAAATGAGGGAGAATACTCAAGGAATAAATCAATATAGAAGCTTTTACGCCACCCCCACCAGGACTGAGATTTATATCTTGGTGGAGATGGTGTGGCACATTGGACACTCAGGAACGATAGGCTCTTATTAGCAAGCAGGAAACAACCAGTTGGGGTGTCAGGGAAACATGCTGGGGATGGGCAGTAGTACTGGGTCTCTCTCATTGCACTGTCAAGGAAGCTGCCCACTGGGGTACTGGTGAAACTCACTGAAAGCCACCCACTGGGGTGCTGGCAGAACTCACTAGAAAGATGCTGGCAGAAGTGCCAGTAAGACTTGCTGGAGAATGTGCATTCTCTGGTCTCCCACATGAAGATGTTTGCTGGACACTGCATTGTAGAAGCCAGAAGAAAAGCAATGGGACGAGGCACTCATGCAGAGTTCCTCCAGCATCCTCTGCTGATAAAGCTTAACAGGGAGATAACTAGCACAAGAGACATTTTTGTAGGACCCAGATTCAGCTTCAAAATGAAGTACAAGGGAGTGTGGTTTTGCACTGAGAAGGTAACAAATTGGAAACTGGAAAAATTAGAAACTTGGACATTCAGCGCATAATAGATCTGGGAAACAAAATTCCAAGCCTGGTCTGAATCATATCTTTCCTGATTGTCAAGTTCCTGGAGTAACTCCATTAGATACAGGAGTCCAGGAAAACCAGACTTCATGGAATAAAAGCATGGATTTGAGTCTAGGAAACAATTGAAACAATGGAGAAATTAGTTGTTACCAAGACTTTAGTGACAGAGAAATGACCCTAGAGGAAAACATACCACAGGCAGAATGGAAATACTAGCTCTTAGGTCTAGGACTAGAGTCAGCACTTGCAGAAACCCAGGATAGTGTGTCCTAGGTACCTCACTTGTCTCACCTGACACCCAGCCCTGTCAGGTCTATAACTATATGGTTCACAATATTCACATTGTCTCCTAAGGACTGACACAGGTGTGGTTCCCAGTAGTTGCTGTTTTACCATTTGTTTATTTGTTTGTTTTTTAAGACCGGGTCTCACTATGTTGCCAAGATTAGCCTTGAACTCTGGAGTTCAAGCAATCAGCCGAACTCAGCGGTCATCCCAACTCAGCAGTCATCCCAAATCAGCAGTCATCCCAAATCAGCAGTCATCCCAAATCAGCCTCCCAAGTAGCTGAGATTACAAGCATGAGCCAGCATGCCCAGCAACTGGTTGCCTTTAATTGCTAAAAAACCGCTTATGAAATGAGATGCAAAGAGCATAAGTAAATAAAAGTGGGTGGAAGTTTTGCTCCAGTTCAATAACCAAACAATAAATTTAAAAGAAACTTGAACACTCGGTGTCAAAATAATGCAGGTATATTAGCAACAGTAATATAGTACTCAGGTATATAAATTAATTCATTTTGAGTGTTAAGTAATGATACTGATTTCTAATATCTAAAGACTACTGGGAAATGAACAGTGTCAATGGCAGCAGACTAGCAGACTTACAATGTTTTCGTGTCAGTTCAGAGATTCTGTGTAATACTAATCAATGTGTAATACTAATTGATGAAGGCTGATAACCTTAAATACAAAATCAGTCTACACTTCTTTCAAACACCGCAAGCAAGGAAACATCAAAGTAGCCACACAAAGAGTGTCAGTACCATCTCAGCTTTTCCTACAGACTTAAAGACCCAAATTCCATTTTCCCTCCTCAGCCCAGGGTCATCCTCCAGAATATTATTCTAGAGCCTCTGGAGCACCATTATAGCCTGAATACCCAGTCCAGGAAGGCCGATCTTCATAGAATAAAAGCATAGGGCTGAGACTAGGGAACAACAACAACAAATAGTATATATCTTGAAACAAGAGAGAAATTGTATATACTTGTAAATAACCAGAATTGAGGAAAGATGCTGTGTGGCAGACATACCTGACAGCAGTAACTTAAGAAATGAGGATGAAGGTTACTGTGGGGAGGGAGCTAAGTGAAAACACTATCTATACAAACTGCATGATATAGATATAAACAGTTTAAGTTCTGAGGTATATATGAAGAATGCGCAGATTTGTTACTTAGGTATACACATACCATAGTGGTTTTCTGCACCCATTAAGCTGTCATCTACATTAGGTATTTTCCTAATGCTACCCCTTCCCTAGCACCCCACCTGCTGACAAGCCCCAGTGTGTGATGTTCCCCTCCCTGTGTCCATGTGTTCTTATTGTTCAACACCCACTTATGAATGCAAACATGCAGTGTTTGGTTTTCTGTTCTTGTGTTAGTTTGCTGAAAATGATGGTTTCCAGCTTCATCCATGTCCTTGCAAAGGACATGAACTCATCCTTTTTTATGGCTGCACAGTATTCCGTGGTGTATATGTGCCACGTTTTCTTTATCCAGCCTATCATTGAGAGGCATTTGGATTGGTTCCAAGTCTTTGCCACTGTGGACAGTGCCACAATAAACATACGTGTGCATGTGGCTTTATAGCAGAATGATTTATAATCCTTTGAGTATATACCCAGAAATGGGATTGCTGGTTCAAATCGTACTTCTATTTCTAGATCTTTGAGAAATCTGTCTTCCACAATGGTTGAACTAATTACACTCCCATCAACAGTGTAAAAGCATTCCTATTTCTCCACATTTCTCCAGCATCTGTGGTTTCCTGACTTTTTATTGATTGCCATTCTAACTGGCATGAAATGGTATCTCAGTGTGGTTTTAATTTGCATTTCTCTACTGACCAGTGATAATGAGCTTTTTTTCATATGTTCGTTGACAGCATGTATTCTTTTGAGAAGTGCCTGTTCATATCCTTTGCTCACTTTTTAATGGAGTTGTTTGGTTTTTTCTTGTAAATTTGTTTTAGTTCTTTGTGGATTCTGGGTATTAGCCCTTTGTCAGATGGATAGATTGCAAAATTTTTTTCCCATCTGTAGGTTGCCTTTTCACACTGATAATAGTTTCTTTTGCTGTGCAGAAGCTCTTTAGTTTATTTAGATCCCATTTATCTATTTTAGCTTTTGTTGCAATTGCTTTGGGTATTTTAATCATGAAGTCTTTGCCCATGCCTATGTCTCCTGAATGGTATTGCCTAGGTTTTCTTCTGGGTTTTTATGGATTTAGATCTTACGTTTAAGTCTTTAATCCATATTGAGTTAATTTTTGTATAAGGCGTAAGGAAGAGATCCAGTTTCAGCTTTCTGTGTATGGCTATCCAGTTTTCCCAACACCATTTATTGAATAGGGAATCCTTTCCCCATTGCTTTTCTCAGGTTTGTCAAAGATAGATGGTTGTAAATGTGTGGTGTTATTTTTGAGGCCTTTGTTCTGTTCCATTGGTCTATATATCTGTTTTGGTACCAGTACCATGCTGTTTTTGTTACTATAGCCTTGTAGTGTAGTTTTATGTAGGTAGCATGACGCTTCCAGCTTTGTTCTTTTTTCTTAGGATTGTCTTGGCTATGTGGGCTCTTTTTTGGTTCCATGTGAAATTTAAAGCTTTTTGCAATTATGTGAAGAAAGTTCATGGTAGCTTGATCGGGACTGCACTGAATCTATAAATTACTTTGGGCAGTATGGCCATTTTCATGTTATTGATTATTCCTATCCATGAACATGGAATGTTTTTCCATTTGTTTGTATTCTTTTTTCTTTTCTTGAGCAGTGGTTTGTAGTTCTCTTTGAAGAGATTCTTCACATCCTTTGTTAGTTGTATTCCTAGGTATATTATTATTTTTGTAGCAATTGTGAATGCAGGTTCACTCCTGATTCGACTCTCTGGTTGTCTGTTATTGGTGTACAGGAATGCTTGTGATTTTTGCACATTGATTTTGTATTCTGAGACTTTGCTGAAGTTGCTTATCAGCTTAAGGAGATTTGGGGCTGAGACAATGGGGTTTTCTAAATATATAATTATGTCATCTGCAAACAGACACAATTTGACTTCCTCTCTTCCTAATTGAATACCCTTTATTTCTTTTTCTTGCCTGATTGCCCTAGACAGAAATTCCAATACTATGTTTAATAGGAATGGTAAGGAAGGGTCTCCTTGTCTTGTGCTGGTTTTCAAAGAAAATGCTTCCTGCTTTTGCCCATTCAGTATGATACTTGCTGTGGGTTTGTCATAAATAGCTTTTAGTATTTTAGGATGCATTCCATCAATATCTAGTTTAAGAAGAGTTTTTACCATGAAGGGGTGGTGAATTTTGTTGAAGGCTTTTTCTGCATCTATTGAGATAATCATGTGGCTTTTGTAATTGGTTCTGTTTATGTGATGGATTACATTTATTGATTTGCATATGTTGAACCAGCTGTGCATCCCAGGGAGGAAGCCAACTTAATCATGGTGGATAAGCTTTTTGATGTGCTGCTGGATTCACTTTGCCAGTATTTTATTGAGGATTTTTGCATCAATGTTCATCAGGGATATTGGCTTGAAAGTTTCTTTTTTTATGTGTTTCTGCCAGGTTTTGGTATCAGGATGATGCTGGCCTCATAAAATGGGTTAGGGAGGATTCCCTTTTTTCTATTGTTTGGAATAGTTTTAGAAGGAATGGTATCAACTCTTCTTTGTACCACTGGTAGAATTTTGCTGTGATGTCTGATCCTGTACTTTTTTTGTTTGTTAGGCTGATAATTACTGCCTCAATTTCAGAAATTGTTATTGGTCTATTCAGGGATTTGACTTCTTCCTAGTTCAGTCTTGGGAGGTTGTATGTGTCCAGGAATTTATCCATTTCTTCTAAATTTTCTAGTTTATTTTCACAGAGGT